AGACTGTTCATTGCGGGAAGTTCCCCGTTGGAAGACAACCGTTGGTTGGACATCTTCAGCCGTGCCAAAGCACCATTCCTGGGACATGAACGCTGCGAATCAACATTACGGTTGCGACCTGACGATCTTAATTCGTGTCAGAGCACCAGGTTTGGGACTTCAACATCGCGAAGTAACGTGACTGTCGCGCCTTGACAATCCGAAGTCGTCCCAAACGCAGTTCCTGGGACGTCGACCACAATAATCTTTGAAACTGCTGTAAACTGTTAAGACGAGTCTGCGCGGCGCTATGGCGAGAGCCACGTTTTGGAAAGGACCCCCCCTCCATCCGTGAGAAGCTCTTGCTGACTTTCAAAACGAATGCGGGTGGCGCTGCGGCGGGAGCCACCTTTTGAACAGGAGCCGCCCTCCATCCGTGAAGCTCGTGCCAACGTCTGAGACGATGGTGGGCGGCGCTGGGGCGCGCACCACACGTCGAGAACGGCCCGCCCGCCATCCGTGAGTCTGTTCTGCGATCTTCTGCGACGGACGTGGGCGACGCTGAGGCGAGCGCCGCATGCTGCAAGCGACCCGCTGGGCAAGGAAGTCTCCGGCGAAACGCCCGGCCCGCTCTACCGACCCGTGTCGGGGTGCGACAGGGATGGAGCACAGTTATAAGGGACAGAGACGGAGGAAGAGAAGGAGAAGGAGGAGGAGGAGGAGGAGGAGAAGGGGAGGAGGAGGAGAGGAAGAGGAAAGGGAAGAGGAAGATCAACAGGATGAGGAGGAGGAAGAAGAGGAGCAAGAGGAAGAAGAGGAGGAGGAAGAGGAGGAGGAGGAAGAGGAGGTGGAGGAGGAGGACAAGGAGGAGGAGGATGAGGAGGAGGAGGAGGAGGAGGAGGAGGAGTGAGGAGTGAGGAGTCAGGAGGAGTGAGGAGGACCCAGACCTCCTCGCGTCGTGCAACAATCACGACGGAGCTGGTTCTGCAATTTTCGGCCTCTGAGGGGTTTCGCCTAGCTCAGGGGCCCTCAAACAAGGCTCAAGATGGCAAGCCTCTCCCTGGGGTGGGGCCCAGAGCTCCCGCGGGCGTCGTGACAACAGCTCCGACACCGGAGGTCTTGGGAGGAGGCCCAGAGTAAGCGCAAGACGCGTCAACGACGTTGCAATGCACCTTACCGCCCCAAGTCCCCTCCTCACAGGTTCCTACGAGCATCCCTGCTTACCGCGCAAAGCGCCCCCCCCTTCGGACGGCGGGCGCCCCGTGGGCCGGTACTTCGGGCGGGATCTGCGTGTTGACGCAAGCCGCCTTCTGCCGCCCCTCGAGTTATCAGCACAGTGGCAGGGTGGGTTTCAGCCTTCGTGGAAGTGCCCAGTGACAGCCGTGCGTTCCGAAGGGATCGCCCTGCACCCGTGTAGCTCTCGCGCAATGAAAGCTTTGTGGTCTTAATGTTAAGCCAGCGTGGGCCCCAAACAATATGTTCCAGCATTCTACGTTGTGCACCCTCTGTGGGGCAGTCTATGTGGTGTAATCTGCGTGGTGCAGTCTTTTTTGTACAATACATGTTGTGGAATCTTTGCCCAACAGTCTATGTGGTGCAATCCATGTGGTGCAATCTGTGTGGTGCAATCTTTGTGGTGCAATATATGTTGTGCAATCTATGTTGTGCAACATCGCTGCCGCAATCCATGTGGTGCAGCCAATGTGGTGCAATTCGCTTGCCGAACTTGAAGTTGTCAACACCACTACTCGCGCAATCATCCCACCCACCCACCCGCAACTGGGTTCGCAAAACCCATGCGGAAGCGATTGCGATGAGTGCTGGGTGTTGGCTGGTGCATCTCTGCGGCCGCGCTGGCCCGCGCATGTTCGCGCGGGCAGCGGCCAGCTTACTAGGCGCGACCGATGCGAACGCGGTGGCGCTGACCGCTCGGCACATCCCAGCGGGCTCTTCAGTGCGAGTCGGCGACTTGGGCGGGCGCGGTATCATGGCAACGCCGACAACGGTAGACACGATGATGATAGTAGTGATGCTGGTGACGATGCTGACAGTGACGACGTCGCAGCCAGTGACAGCGCCGATGCTGCTCACGCCGGCGACGATGACGGCGTCTTCGCGTCGGTGATGAAGGTTGTGGAGGAGTTCGAAATGCGCGCGCGACAGACGCGCGAGAGTGGCCCGCATGGTATTATTCGAGACGGATCGTGCCACCCCAGCACGCGCGCAAGGGCGTTCGAACGATTTCGACATGTGCGCGCGAAGCCCGTTTGGTAGCATATAGAACACATTTTTTGTATAGTAAGAATTTGCAAGAACGCGCATATTCTTGTTTGGAAATCCTTTTTGCGAAACCATTTTCTTATACATCCTTACGACGCCGAGGGTTTGGTGAAGGTTTTCGGCATGCGCGCGACGACGCGCGCGTGTGCACTTTTTTTGTTTTTTGCAAGGGATCATTGAACACTGGTGATGTGTGATAATCGAGTGTGCGCGCATAGTAGTTTTTTGGAGAGGATGGCGTTGGGGGCCGATACCGGTTGGGCTGGCATGGTACGGGCTCATATTTAGGATGGGCGATGGGGCAGGGACGAGTGTAAATTCTTTACGCTTCGCGTATCCCCACCAGCCCATCTCACAGCAGCAAGTCTCGCGAAGCATGCCGACAGTCGTGTTTTTCAGGCGTGTGTCCGCTGGGCCCCGCATGTCTCCCCTGTTCCTCCTTCCTCCCGCCTCCTTGTACATCCTCCTTGTGGGGGGTACGGGAGAAGGACGAGGCGAAGGAGGAGTGAGAGAAAGCGCTCCTCGTGGTTTGAGTCGTTTGGGGTTTCTCGTCCTGGTCTGAGTCGTTCGGGCCCTTCTTCCTGGTGTGAGTCGTTCGGGCTCTTCGTGGTGTGAGTCGTTCGGGCTCTTCGTCCTGGTGTGAGTCGTTCGGGCTCCTCGTGGTGTGAGTTGTTCGGGCCCGTCGTGCTGGTGTGAGTCGTTCGGGCCCCTCCTCCTGGTGTGACTCGTTCGGGCTCGTCGTGGTGTGAGTCGTTCGGGGCCCGCGTCGTGGTGTGAGTCCTTCGGGCTCCTCGTGGTGTGAGTTGTTCGGGCGCCTCGTCCTGGTGTGAGTCGTTCGGGCCCTTCCTTGTGGTGTGAGTCGTTCGGCCTCTTCGTGGTGTGAGTCGTTCGGGCCCCTCGTCCTGGTGTGAGTCGTTCGGGCTCCTCGTGGGGCCTCTTGGGGGCCTCTTGGGGGCGTCTTGGGGCCTCTTGGGGGCCTCTTGGGGACCTCTTGGGGGTATCTTTGGGGCCTCATGGAGGCGTCGTGGTGCCTCCTGGGGACCCCTTGTGGGCCATCTGAGGACCTCTTGGGGCCATATGGTGGACCTCTGGGGGCCCTCTTGGGGGGCTTGTATGAGCGCTGCCCCTCCTCCTGGTGTGACTCGTTCGGGCTCCTCGTGGTGTGAGTCGGTCGAGGCCCGCGTCGTGGTGTGAGTCGTTCGGGCTCCTCGTGGTGTGAATGGGTCGGGCGCCTCGTCCTGGTGTGAGTCGTTCGAGGCCCGCGTCGTGGTGTGAGTCGTTCGGGCTCCTCGTGGTGTGAATGGGTCGGACGCCTCGTCCTGGTATGAGTCGTTCGGGCTCCTCCTTGTGGTGTGAGTCGTTCGGGCTCTTCGTGGTGTGAGTCGTTCGGGCCCCTCCTCCTGGTGTGAGTAGTTCGGGTCCCCCCTCCTGGACAGAGTCGTTCGGGCCCCTCCTCGATGTGTGAGTCGTTCGGCGAGGGGCCCGAACGACTCACACAAGGAAGGGCCCGAACGACTCACACCAGGGCGAGGGGCCCCAACGACGCACACCACATGCATTCTGGTCCAGGACGTCGCCGTCGTGTGAGTCGACAGAGCCGGTTACGTGTAGGACTCGAGGGCGACCGCCTTCTGTCTTGCCTCCCATCGCCTTCTCTCCCTCCTCCTCTTCCTCCTCTTCGGCTCCTAGTCGTAGTAGTAGAAGTAGTACCAGTAGGATCAGTTGTAGTACTGGTAGTGGTAGTAGCAGTAGTAGTAGTAGTAGTAGTAGTAGTAGTAGTAGTAGTAGTAGTAGTAGTAGTAGTAGTAGTAGTAGTAGTAGTAGTAGTAGTAGTAGTAGTAGTAAGTAGTAGTAGTAGTAGTAGTAGTAGTAGTAGTAGTAGTAGTAGTAGTAGTAGTAGTAGTAGTAGTAGTAGTAGTAGTAGTAGTAGTAGTAGTAGTAGTAGTAGTAGTAGTAGTAGTAGTAGTAGTAGTAGTAGTAGTAGTAGTAGTAGTAGTTAGTAGTAGTAGTAGTAGTAGTAGTAGTGTAGTAGTAGTAGTAGTAGTAGTAGTAGTAGTAGTAGTAGTAGTAGTAGTAGTAGTAGTAGTAGTAGTAGTAGTAGTAGTTAGTAGTAGTAGTAGTAGTAGTAGTAGTAGTAGTAGTAGTAGTAGTAGTAGTAGTAGTAGTAGTAGTAGTAGTAGTAGTAGTAGTAGTAGTAGTAGTAGTAGTAGTAGTAGTAGTAGTAGTAGTAGTAGTAGTAGTAGTAGTAGTAGTAGTAGTAGTAGTAGTAGTAGTAGTAGTAGTAGTAGTAGTAGTAGTAGTAGTAGTAGTAGTAGTAGTAGTAGTAGTAGTAGTAGTAGTCGTAGTAGTAGTAGTAGTAGTAGTAGTAGTAGTAGTAGTAGTAGTAGTAGTAGTAGTAGTCGTAGTAGTAGTAGTAGTAGTATTAGTGGTATTTCCAGTATGTAGTGAAACGAGAATGAGTAGTAGTAGAAGTACAAGTAGTAGCAATCGTAGAGGAAAGAGTAGTAGTAGATGTCTGTTGGAAGCTGCTCGGAGGCCTCTTGGGGCGTCTTCGGCGCCTCTTGGGGCCTCTTGGGGACCTCTTGGGGGTATCTTTGGGGCCTCATGGAGGCGTCGTGGTGCCTCCTGGGGACCTCTTGTGGGCCATCTGGGGACCTCTTGGGGCCATATGGTGGACCTCTGGGGGCCCTCTTGGGGGGCTTGTATGAGCGCTGCCCCTCCTCCTGGTGTGACTCGTTCGGGCTCCTCGTGGTGTGAGTCGTTCGAGGCCCGCGTCGTGGTGTGAGTCGTTCGGGCTCCTCGTGGTGTGAATGGGTCGGGCGCCTCGTCCTGGTGTGAGTCGTTCGGGCCCCTCCTTGTGGTGTGAGTCGTTCGGGCTCTTCGTGGTGTGAGTCGTTCGGGCCCCTCGTCCTGGTGTGAGTCGTTCGGGCTCCTCGTGGGGCCTCTTGGGGGCCTCTTGGGGGCCTCTTGGGGCCTCTTGGGGGCCTCTTGGGGGCCTCTTGGGGGCCTCTTGGGGGCCTCTTGGGGGCTCTTGGGCCTCTTGGGGGCCTCTTGGGGGCCTGTTGGGAGCCCCTGGGGGCCTCTTGGGGGCCTCTTGGGGGCCTCTTGGAGGCCTCTTGGGAGCCTTCTGGGGGCATCTTGGGGCCTCTTGGGGGCCTCTTGCGACCTCCGCAGAAGCGCAAATGAGCGCTACCCCCTGAGAAGGACAAAATGAGCCCAAAACCTTCGTAAAACCAATGATTTTGAGAACAAGGAAGAGGAGCGCTGCCCTTTTCAGAAGGCCAAAATGGGGCCGAAACTGTAGTCACATCAATGATTTTGGCTTCACAGAAGAGGAGAGGGTTCTATGTGCGTCCCCCCGTCGGGGGCAGAATCCTAGTGAAGGGTGTCGTTTTTTAGCCCTCCCAGGAGTCGAAATTGACCCCCCTGACGACCCGCGGAACTCCCTCTCCAGGCCCAGGGGGAGGGGGTAGGGGGAGGGGTAAACCCCTCCCCGAAGGGGAAGAAATCGGGTTGGGGGGTTGAGAACAGAGGGAGCTCGCTAAACCACTCACGCCCAAAGGGCTGGTGGGATTGCAACGCGAAAAGGGGGACCGATAATCCCTCGTGGGAAGGGGGGGGGTAGAGTCTATTGTCCTTCCAGGAAGGAAAATCCATATGGTGTATAATCAATGTGGTGTAACCGACGTGGTGCAATTTGCGTGGTGCAATATATGTCGTGTGTGTGGAATATAAGTGGAACGTTTTATGTGTTGCAACCTGTGCGGCGCAACATTTGGTGCAAACAGCGCTGTGCAACTCATGTGGCAAAAATTTGAGATGTCAGCCCCATTCCTCGCTCAATCATCCCACCCACCCACCCGCAACTTGGTTTACAAAACCCATGCGGCGGCGATTGCGATGAGTGCTTGGTGTTGGCTAGTGCATCTCTGTGGCGTCTACGGCCGCGCTAGGCCGCGCACGATCGCGCGCACAGCGGCCAGCTTGTTTGGCGTGACCGACGTGGCCGCGGGGCCGTTCCCAGCGGGCTATTCATTGCGAATTGGCGACATTGGAGGGCGCGGAATGATGGCGGCGTCGGCAACGGTATACACGACGATGTTAGTAGCGATGCTGGTGGCGATGATAACGATGACGACGTCGAGGCTAATGGTGGGGCCGATGCTGATCACGTTGGCGACGATGACGGTGTCTTCGCGTTGGTGATGAAGGTTTGGGCAAGAGTTCGACATGCGCGTGTGGCCGACACCCGCGAGTGGCCCGCGTTGTATTATTTGATGAGGATCGTGCCCCCCCCCGAGCAAGCGCGCAAAGGGTGTTTGACTGACTTCGGCATGCGGCGCGAGAGGCCCGTTTTGTAGAATTTGATGACAATTTCGAAAGCAAAAAACATAATATGGATGTCATAGTAATCAGCAAAATCGCGCGCGCAGAGATTTTTGACAACTGATGTTGCAAAACCACATGTTTCTTTCAAGTGTTTTCGGGGCGCACGGTTTTGGAATCCACACGAAACTTAAGCTTTTTGAGGGATGTCGGCATGCGCGTGCGACGACGCGCGCGTGTAATCTTCGTTTCTTTCTGTAACGGATTCTTGCGACAGCCCGCGCGCAACAATTCTCGAACGATGTTGGTATGCGGGTGCCAGAGGCATGCTTGGTAGAGGTTGATGGACGTATTGCAAAACAAACGGTTTTCCCAAGAATTCGCAAAAACTCGAGTGCATCACTTTTCGAGAACATTTCTGTTGCGAGGCGATTCTATGGATATGTGTTTGTATATGTTTATGTTTTTTTCGGGGATCTCGACTTTGAGATCCTTACGACAACCACGGGTTTCAATGGATTTAAGCATGCGCGAGCGCGACGACGCAAACGTGCGAATGTCGTCGTGTTTTTGTTGCGGGTGAGGTGGGGGGGGGGATGGTGCTTGGGATGGTATGAATTGATTATCGCGATGGACGAGTGTGCAGAAGCATTTCGCAGAAAATGCGACAACTCCATGTCGGGTGTTGCTAGAAGTACCCCTGGCCCAAGGTGCCCCTAGGATTCTCGGGGCAGCCCAGACGGCCTCCAGGGCACCCCTCACGGGGCTCAGAGGGCCCCAGGGGCTCCAAGATGGAGCGCAAAGCTGGGGGCACCTTGTGCCAGGGGTACTGCTAGCAACACCCTACCATGGGTTAAACCCAGGGGGGGGGGTAGATCTTAATGTGCCCATAGGGAGAATCTGGGCGGCGACGGGGCGGCGACGGCGGGCACGGAGCCGCCAGACCGACATTCTGGCCCAGACGACGGGCGGTGACGGGGCGGCGACGGGGCGGCCGCGGGGTGACGACGGCGAGACAGGAACCGCCGGATATGGCACCCGGGCGCAGACGACGGGCGGCGGCGACTGTAGGGGGCCACATGCCAACCCTACCCCTACCCCACCACGATTTCTGAGGGGGAGGGTGGGGTTCACTTCGCTCAGGAGCTCCCGAGCGAAGTGAACCCTCAGAAATCGTGGGGGCACGGAACCGCCAGACCGACACCCAGGCTCACACGACTGGCGGCGGCGGGGCGGCGACGGGGCGGCGACGGCGACGGCGGAGCCGCCAGACCAACACCCAGGCCCAGCTCCTCAGAACAAGAGTAGGAACCTCTAATGGCAAGCAATCTTCGGGGAAGTCGAGCGAAGTCCGAGGCGAGGGCTCCATTTTGAAAACCGACAACGAATCGCCCGCCATCAATTGAGCCGTTGCGCAACTTTACGCCTGTAGTTTTGTTATTAATCGCTTCGCTCATGCCGCCGGCCCTGGAGCCCTCTTTAGGGCCTCTTGGGGGCCTCTTGGGGACCTCTTGGGAGTCTCTTGGGGCTCCTTGGCGGCGTTTTGGAGGCCCCCAGGGCCTCTTGGGGGGCTCTTGGGGGTAGTCGATTGCGGCCCCCCCCTCGGAGGCCACGATCCTCGTGAGGGGTGTCGAAAAATACCCTCCCCTGGAGTGGTCTGGTGGCTTCTCCCGGGCTTCTCTCGGGACCTTGCCGGGGTACTTTTCGTCCGGGGGCCCCCAGGGGCCGCTCCGCGCGCGCGAACTAGAAATATTGTTAACAAGTTACCGGAGATCTTAGCACGCCTCTGGCCCGTTGGGCCGGCGAATTTGTGGAGGGCTTAGGCAAGAGCCACATTATGAAAACAACTGACCATCCATCATCCGTCCGTGTAAGTGCTCGAAACTTCGAAGACAAACGTGCGCGGCGGGTGACGGAAGGAGCCACATTCTGAAAACCAGTGGGCCTCCTACTTGGTAGCTGCTGGATCTGCTGAGGCTTCGGGGCGCAGCCTCGAGCGACATGCCCGGCCCAGCCTGCGCGCGCGCCTGGTGGTGACACAGGGGCGAGCTTTCGACAAGGAGGGCGAGGAGGAGGGCAGGAGGAGGAGGAGGAGGAGGAGGAGGAGGAGGAAGAGGAGGAGGAGGAGGAGGAGGAAGGAGGATCAGGAGGAGGATCAGGACGAAGAGAGGAGGAGGAGAGGAGGAGGAGGGAGGGAGGAGGAGGAGGAGGAGATCGGGCGGGGCTAGCTCTCGGAGCGTCCCAGCGCGCTCTCGAACGGCCGCGGCGCCCGCTACAGCTTCCAGAACCGGAGCCTCCTCTCGGGCGCTGCCCCTGCGGCCCCGAGCCCTCGCCACACAAAGAGGTGCACGGCGGCCTGCTGGCTGCGCGCGGCAACGAGGAGCACGAGAAGCAGATGAAGGATCGGCCTCCTCCTCCTCCTCCTCCTCCTCCTCCTCCTCCTCCTCTTCCTCCTCCTCCTCCTCCTCTCCTCCTCCTCCTCCTCCTCCTCCTCCTCCTCCTCCTCCTCTCTCTCCTTTTCCTCCTTCTCCTCCTTCCTGTTCCGCCTCCTCCTCCTCCTCCTCCTCCAAAGCCTCAAAAGCCTCCTCCAGCTCCTCCCTCCTCCCCGAAGGCCCCCCCTTCCAGGCCTCCCCAAAAAGGGGCCGGAGTAGGTAAGGCTTCGGGTTGCGCGCAGGCAGCCGTCCCAGGTAGTCCCAGCTGGCCTCAAGAGGCCCCCCGAGTAGTCCCAGCTGCCCTCAGCAGGCCCCTCGAGCAGCCCGGTGCGGTCTCGAGCCCCTGGCGGCGCCCCTGGCGGCGCTCCTGGGGGCGCTCTGCTCCCCAGGGTTGGAGAGTCGAGACCGCCAGGGGCTACTCGGGTGGCCTGTTGAGGCCAGCCTGGACTACTCTGTGGGCCCTGGTGAGGCCACCATGGACCACCTGACCTGGGGGGGCTGTCTGTGGCAACTCGAAGCCTTCTCATGCCGACTCGGTCGCGACCCTGGCGCGGACGTTCAAGGTCGAGCGCCACCGATGACCCAGAATCGGCCAGCATGGAACGACCTTGCGATCGAGAAGCCGCCGGTCGTTAGAGGTTGAGCGATCCACGCGTTGTCAGAAACCAACGCCAGCGATCCTGCCGTAGATGGGTCGGAGGATCGCGCCGTATTTCCGCTGCATCGGCGATGCAGCGCGAGTTGGAGCCCTGGCTTCTCGATCCCGCCGTCTCCGATGCACCGCCGATGCGTCGCCGATGCGTCGGCGATGCGGCGCGATCCTCCGACACCATCTGCTCCAACCCCATTTGTGCCCATTTGTGAGGCCTCCGTCGTCGTCGTCGTCGTCGTCGTCGTTGTCGTCGTCGTCGTCGTTCGTCGTCGTCGATTGAAACCTGAGGGTAGAGCCACGAGGATCAAGGCTTTGGAAGCGTTTGGTTCGGTCTGGGCCGCGGCAGACCTTTCAAGGCCTCTGGAGGTTTCTGGGGCCCTCTATCCACTTCTGGAGGTCCTTGCAGACCCAGGAGGTCGCAGCTGTCGCCGTCGTCGTCGTCGTCGTCGTCGTCGTCGTCGTCGTCGTCGTCGTCGTCGCGGTCGCGGTCGCGGTCGCGGTCGCTGTCGCCGCCGTGAGGAGCACGGTATCCGCGGTATCGACCTGGTCGTGGTCAACCTGTACCCGTTCAACGAAGCCGTCGCCAAGAACCCGGACGACTTTGCTACCTGCATCGAGAACGTCGACATCGGCGGGCCGGCGATGATCCGGGCGTCTGCGAAGAACAATGCCTCGGTGACGATCGTGACGAGCCCGTCGCAGTACCGAGGGGTCATCGAGGAGGTGACAGCGAAGGGCGGCTGCACCAGCTACGGCTTCCGCAAGAACCAGGCCGCCGCGGCCTACGCCCTCACGTCGGCCTACGACTCCGCGGTGTCGCAGTGGTTCGCCGGGCAGGTCACCTCCCCCCCGGCGACGCAGACCGTGGCTTTCCAGGCGGTGCGCCCCCGCCCCTCCCGAAGCGCGGTACAGGGCAGTTTTTAAGACATAGGATTTGGATTTTAATATGCATATATATATATATATGTATATGTGTGTATATATATACATATAGGATTTTTCATACATGATGAATTTATGAATCAGTTTATGCATGAACTCATCGTTGTTTTTACTACTAAATCCTTACATGTTTAATACATGATCCTCACGCGGAGCATGTATAAAAAACGGCACTGTACAGAGTTGCGCCGCGTCGACGCGGTGGCGACCCCAGCGCAGGCGTTACGGGTAGAACGCCGCCAGCGGCCCAGACTCGGCGGACATCGAACGATTTGCATGACCACGGTGCCGCGATCGTTCGAGGCCGAACAGAGATCACGCGGTGCCAGAAACGGGCGCGCAAGTCGTCTCCCCACGAGCCTGTACGAGCCTGCCGCACCAGTGCAGCATGCACCCTGCCATGCTCCCTCCTCCCCCTCATCCCCCTCTCTTTCCACTCACACTTCGACGATCGACGTTCGATCCACACCCTATTGCTACCTTCCCCTGCCTCTCGGCGCCAGGGGGAAGCACGGCACGGACGACAGAACGTGGCCCCAGAGGCGCCAGAATATTTTATCCATGCCGCCGCTCTGGCCCCTCGTGGGGTCCGGGGCGTGAGCGGGGGCCTGGATAGCATTAAGTCGGGCATGTCCCTCTACAGGAGAAGTGTTCAAAAATAGTAAAAAAATAGCCAGGGGACGATTCTTGGACAATCTTTAAATATTTTTGATTATTTTTCTTTTGTCGCCCAAAATCCGCCTGTAGGAGGACATGCCCGACCTAAGGATAGCATGTCCATCGCACATCGCCCGTCGCCGCTTCCCAGGTGGAGCGGCCGCTGAAGTACGGCTGCAATCCCCACCAGCTGCCCGCTGGACTCTGCTCGGTCATGGGCGGCAAGCTGCCCTTCGAGGTGGTGGCCGGGACGCCCGGGTACATCAATCTGCTGGACGCGGTGAACGCCTGGCAGCTGGTGCACGAGCTGGCTCAGGCCACCAGTCTGCCCGCCGCGGCGTCGTTCAAGCACGTCAGCCCGGCCGGCGCGGCCATCGGCGTGCCTCTCAGCGACGAGGAGAAGATCGTCTACGAGGTCAAGGATAAGGAGCTCACGCCTACGGCGACCGCGTACGTGCGCGCGCGGAATGCCGACCCGCTGTGCTCCTTTGGGGATTTCGTTGCCATCTCTCACAAGGTCGACGTTGCCACGGCCAATATCCTGAAGATCGAGGTGAGCGACGGCATCATCGCGCCCGACTTCGAGGACGCGGCTCTGGAGATCCTGAAGGCCAAGAAGGCTGGCAAGTTCATCGTGCTGAAGGCGGACGCAGGCTACACTCCGCCGGCGCAGGAGTACCGCATGTGCGGCGGCGTGGGCTTTGTCCAGAAGAGGAACTCAGGAGGAGAGAAAACACGGACACAATTAATCGTCGATCCCCAAGAAAATATGGCAAAATATGGACAGTTGGGGGAAGACATTAACCCAGAAAGTATGGGAAACTATTGGGAATCCTTTGTATTTGTGTGTGTGTTTATTTGTGTGTCCCAGGGCCCCTTCAGGAACGACGCCCTCTTCGATGCATCGCGCCTGGAGAAGGTAGTGACCAAGAAGAAGGAACTGCCGGAGCAGGGGAAGCTGGACCCCGGGCGACGCAAACCGTCCACCCACCTACAACAGATCGGGCAAGGATGCTGTTCGCCATCCTCAGGCCCCCGGGGGCTCGTGCTTCTCTAGGCCAGGGGGCCGTCAAAGCACGGCTCGGGACGAACACAAATGGCCCCCCCATGGGATGGTGTTCCAGACTTCCTCGCGTCGTGAAACCCAGGTCCCCGACGTCATGATCTTTTGATAGCGTCGGCCCATGGGGGTCTCGACCCATTCCCCTGGACCGGCTTTCATCCTGAGTCGTTTTTTGTCGGTCCCGAGGGCCAGCAAGGGCCCCCAGAAGCCGAAGACAGCAAGAAACCCTTCGCCCTGATTTTTTCCTTGCCCGAGGGGGGGTTTGGGAAGCTGGCCGCCGGGAGGTCCTTTCCAGTGCCGTTGGCCCCCGGGGCCCGTGCCGGGCCCCGGAGCTGCCCATAAGAGGGGCCTCGGGACGAGAGGCGGGCCCCGGGGAAGAGGCCCAGCCTTCGCGGGCTCCACGATGCAGCAGAAGCCACGACGTCGGAGGTCTGGGCTGGTCGAGGGGCCCGAGGCCATCGAGGACCCTAGCCATACGACGAAGCCGTGGCCTCACTGACGGCCCCTGTTTCGCATTCGGGCTGATACATCTGGGCCGTTTGGTTCGGTCTCATCTGCAGGAAGAGAGGCCCCCTATCCCTCATGTTCCTGGCCCTCCTACTTTGCCCAGACCCCCGACGTCGTGATCTTCTCATGACGTGACCCTCCGAAGTTTGGACCCCTTCCCGGGGACCGGTCTTTCGTCCCGACTCGTTTTTGGTATTCCTCACCCCGGGCGTTGTCCCCTCGTCTCTCGCTCCCCAGGCCTCCTCGCGCTGAGGAGAGAAATCACGGCGGGAGGTTTTTTCCCTTATTTTTGTTCTGCCTCCAGGGGCCCTTCCAGGGCCTCGGGGCCGTCAAACAACGACTCAGGACGAAAACCCGGTCCCAGGGACGGGGTCCAAACTTCTGCGGGTCGACGCAACGACAACCTTCACGAAGTCGGAGGCCTGGGTCCTGCGCGCCAGACAATATTTGGCGATCGGCTGCCCCGACTATAGCCCTACGCTGGTGCGGCCTGCCTCCGACTCCGCCTCGCCGCCGACGGAAAGAGAGAATTCTTCACGCTTCGCGTATCCCCACCAGGCCATCTCAAAACAGCAACTCTTGCGAAGCATGCCGACTGTCGTGTTTTTCAGCCGTGTTTCCGCCTGCCCCCGCATATCTCCGGGCCTCTCGTCCTGGTGGTAGTACGAGAAGCAGTACGAGGAATAGCACTAGCAGTAGCAGTAGCAGTAGCAGTAGCAGTAGCGGTCGTTCGGGCTCTTCGTGGTGTGAGTCGTTCGGGCCCCTCGTCCTGGTGTGAGTCGTTCGGGCTCCTCGTGGGGCCTCTTGGGGGCCTCTTGGAGCGTCTTGGGGCCTCTTGGGGGCCTCTTGGGCGCCTCTGGGGAGCCTCTTGGGGGCCTCCTGGGGCCTCTTGAGGCCTCTTGGGGGCCTCTTGGGGGCCTCTTGGGGGCCTCTTGGGGCCGCTTGGGGGCCTCTTGGGGGCCTCTTGGAGGCCTCTTGGGAGCCTCCTGGGGGCCTCTTGGGGCCATCTTGGGGCCTCTTGCGACCTCCTCAGAAGCGCAAATGAGAGCTGCCCCCTGAGAAGGACAAAATGAGCCCAAAACCTTCGTAAAATCAATGATTTTGCTATGAAGGAAGATGAGCGCGGCCCCCTCAGGACGCCAAAATGGGGCCAAAACCGTAGTAAAATCAATGATTTTGGCTTCAAAGAAGAGCAGAGGGGCCTATCTCCGTCCCCCCGTCGGGGCCAGAATCCTCGTGAGGGTCGTCGTTTTTTGGCCCTCCCAGGAGTCGAAATTGACCCCCCTGACGACCCGCCGGGCCCCCTGTCCAGGTCCAGGGGGAGGGGGTAGGGGGAGGGGTAAACCCCTCCCCGAAGGGGAAAAAGGGGGGTTGAGGACAGAGCGGGCTCTCTAAACCACTCACGCCCAAAGGGCTGGTGGGATTTTCCCCCGGTCTCGGGCCCCGGGGCCCTCCCGCATCGATCCGGCTCGAAGAGGGCCGCAGGAAGATGGGGTTCGGGGCTCCCGTCGTGACTGTTCGCGATGTGAGCGTTTTCTGATTCTGGGGGGCCATATGCGGACCCTACCCCTACCCCCCACGATCTTTGAGGGGGAGGGTGGGGTTCCCTTTGTTCGGGAGCTTCCGAGCGAAGTGAAACCCCACCCGCCCCCGTCAAAAATCGTGGGGGGTAGGGGTAGCGTTCGCATGTGGCCCCCTAGATTCGGCGTCTCGACATTGCGCGGCAGGAGTGGGGGGCAGGGGCAGGACTCGCACGCGGCCCCTGGACGGGCCTGGCCCCCCCCGGGCGCCGGAGGGGCGTGCACGGAGGCCTCGTCGCCCGGCGGGGGGCGCGTCGGCCTGGGCAAGAGGCGAGCGGGGCCGTCGGCCGGCGGGTCGTCAGAGCGGCCTGCGTAGAGGGGCGAGCCTTTCTCTGGACGCCCGAAATGGGTACGGAAAGAGTGGGTACGATGCCCAACAGCAGTTCCTGTTCATCTTGAACAGGACTCGCTGTCCGCGCCGCCGCGGCCCGTGTCCATTCGAGACAGGAGGCCGCCTGCCCAACAGCGGCCGCTGTTGGTTCGGGACAACATTTGCGGTTGGGCTTTGTACCCGTTCTTTCCGTGCCCATTTCGGGCGTCCAAACCTCGCCGGAGTGGCCTCGTGATCCGGGCCCCTTGGAGCAGTGACAAGAATCACGGCGCAGGGCTTTTTGCTATGTTCGGCTTCGGGGGGCCCTCACCGGCCCTGGGACCGTCCACGAACCGGCTCGGGCTATGATGCTCCAACCTACTTTGGCCTTGATCACCAGAAAGAATTTCGAGCGCCCCAAAAAGTACCGACACTCAAGGGTTTTCACGTGTCGGGCCCTGAGAGACACTCGCCCGACACTGTTTAGACATGCTTTTGATACTTTTCCGGGTGCTCGAAATTATTTCTGGGATGCGGTCCGTACGTAGGATGGGAACAACATAAGGCTCGGGATGTAGACTGGGTCCAGGGGAATGGGTCGAGACCTCCAGGGGTCGGCGTCATGGAAAGATCGTGACGTCAGGGGGTCTGGGGGTGCTGGCCCCCAGCTGGCCGAATGCAAAACAGCGGGGTCGTCTGCGCCGGCGTTGGCGCGCGAGCTGCTCGCGTAGGGCCGCGCGGGGGCGCCCTCATCTTCGGGCAAGACCCGTTCTTGATCGCCGCTCAGGTGGCGGAACGCGATGCGACAGCAGCGGCTTGCGCGCTCCGGTTCGGCCTCCCCGCGGCCCCCGAACGTCGCGCACCAGAGGGGTCGAACCTGCCCTGGCCCAGGGTCGCCCAGGAGGAGGAGGCGGAGGAGGAGGAGGCGGAGCAGGAGGAGGAGGAGGAGGAGGAGGAGGAGGAGGAGGAGGAGGAGGAGGAGGAGGAGGATTTGATTTGACACGGGAAAGTCTCCAGCGACCCGACCCCAAAGGGGAAGGGCGCCCCAGAGCCTAACCCTCCACGCCATCAGTCGAAGTCAAGGAACCACCACAGTCTTCTGCACTTGTTCAATCAGCAAGAGGCACCAGCTCGTCAAGCGGCACATTCCCTCTCAGGTGGTTGGGATGGATGCCTCTACGGATTCTGCTAACCCACGAAAAGCGTCCCCAGAAAAATCCGGAAAAATGCGGGGACGCTTGTGTCGCACCCCTGTGGTTCACCTGCCGACGCAGGAGGGGTGAGCCTCTGTAGCTCACCTGCCGATGCAGGAGCAGCTTGCGAGACACATGCCCGAAGGCGCCCCGATGCACACCCCTAACCGTCCCAGCGGCAGTCCCTCGCGCGGCGCGCACGGCACGGCGCGGGAGGGGGGGAAACCAAGCCAGCCGCCATGGTTCACCCGACAAGCGGGGGCGGCGCAGCGACGTGCCCGAAGGCGACGCTGCCGTCAAAACCAGCCGGGCCGACGGAGGGCCGCGCCCACGCGGCGCGTGCAGGCCCGATTCAGGCCCCCTCAAGCCTCGGCGCCCTTGCTTTGGAGGCAGGACATGACCAGCGGGTGGATGGTGTCCAGCACGGAGCTCTTGAGCTCGGCGAGCTCGGTGCCGAGCTTCACTTTGAAATCCTTCGTCCGGCAGTTGATCTTGCCAAGATCTGCTGTGAACTCGGCCTTCTGCTCCTTCAAGTAGTAGATAACCTGGTCAAGGTCTGTCATGGTGGCGGCCTTCTGCATTATCATCTCTTCGCGGATCAGCTCGAGATCTTCGATGGGCGTTTTGCCGCTCAGCTGCACATTCGTGAAACTCCTGTTATTGCCAAGATCTGTTTTGTTTGCTGCCACCTGCTCCTTAAACTCGCCGTAGAGCGAGTCGAGGTCTGTCTTGATGGCGGCCGTCTGGGTCGCTTTGGACCTGCTCGAGAAGCTGCCCCAGGATGGAGCTGTTGATACTGTCAAGATCTGCTTCATGTGCGGCCAGCTGTTCCTTCAACTCGCTGTGGACCGAGCCGGTCGTCTGCAACTTCAGGTCCGCACGGACCTGCTCGAGAAGCAGCTCCATGTTGGGGCGGTCGATACGATATTGTCAAGGTCGGCCTTGTGCACGGCCATCTGCTCCACCAGCTCGCGGTAGACCTGGTCGAGGTCTTTCTTGGCGGCGGCCGTAAGCATCTTCACCTCGTCATTGACTTGCATGGGACCGTACTTGTGCACCATGTCATTGGCCTTCTCATGGTGGCCCGCGAGCTTCTCAGGCTGGGACACTCGCAGCATGAGCTCCCCCAGCGGCGGCTCCATGTTGGGACCGATGGGCACCAGCTTGCCCTTGTCGTTCTTGTTCTGGAGCTCCCCTATGGACTCCAGAAACTCTGGGACGGTCTCGCAGTCCCCGATGAAGAAGCTCTGGTCCTTTTTCGTGTTCATCTTGGCCTCGGGTGGCACCATGGGCATGAAGACCTTCATATCCCCAACGTTCACGGTGGGGCCGTCGAGGACTACCAACTCCATGTTGATACCGCTGCTCTCACTGTTTAGCCCCTTCAAATAGCCAGCCATCACCCTGCCGAAGTCTTCGCAGAGGAGGTGCCAGTGCGCCAGCATCTCGACCTTCATCTGCAGGCAGGAAATGTTACCAAACCCAACAGGGCTACCTTGCTTTTAGCACGATCACGCAGTGCTCAAACGGCAGGCTAGCGCAGCAGCATCGCTGCGCTTCGCCTTCAGCGCGAGGACGA